TAACAATGCTGGTTACTACAAATAATGAAGTAATCCATTTAAAATTTTTAAATTAATTTTACTAGTAAATACATGTACTTTAGATTAACATTCTCATTTATATTTTTAGTTGTAAGATTCTGATTTCAAACAAAATCATGACATTAAATTTTATTAAATAAATGTGGGATCAATCAATTTACATCATTGAATTACTCATCCGCCCTCATGCAAATGATGGAGGGTGGAAGGGCAAATTGATGTAAGATGGCATCCATTGTTTATTTTTCTCTCCAGTCATCACAAAACTGTCAGAAATAAATCCAGTGTATTTGCAAATGGTTTAAACTTCTGGCTCAATGATATAATTAGGAGGAACAAAAAAGGACAAATTTTTGCTGATGTAATACTTGAATAGTCCTTACTGTATAACATATCAATCCCTTGTTAGAATAACTTATTTATTTATTTATTTTTTAACCCCTGTAAACATCAAGGATATAACAAATAATAATTTATATTTTGTATCTACTGGATAAATAGAATACAATAAAAAACACACCTTTAAAAATCCAGCAAAGAAAATTTACTAAATAAAAAAAAAAACGTTTTTGATTGGTTTAACAGGTTTAATTGAAAATGTTTTTATTTAGTAAATTTTCTTTGCTGGATTTTTAATGGTGTGATTTTGTCAAATAAATTAGTTTATTGTCGTCATGTTGCAAAAACTGAAAAAAACAAAAATTAGTAAACTGATAAATTTAAAGGTGAACTTGAACTTTGACCAATATCTACAATGAAATTACAGCTGTAAGATATATCTTATCAACAGAATTAATCATATGATTCATTTGTATCCATAGAGATAAACTAAACAACCAAATACAGTATAAATGTTTCTTTCTAACTGTGCAACATTCTGTAGTGAATTTTATTTATTTGCTCATTTAGATTTGGTTATCATCTTTAAAATCCAAAGTATTGTACATTAACATTCAAGATTTAGGCATTTATCACTTTTCAACATAACAGTGTGGTAACAAATGCATCCAGTTCACAGCATTGCTGAGTCTACTTCTTACATGTAAACTCATTCTTGATTGTCCTCTATGACATGAATATTCAAAATTAATGAAATATCTTAAGAATTTTATTAATACAGTGGGTGATCAGTTAACAAACATAATCCGTTCCAAGACTTTGTTCACTAACCAATTATCGATTTACCATAGGTTTTAATGGGAATTTAATTAATTCATTCTGGAGACCGCCAAAAATAAAAAAAAATATATACTTTCTTACTACATTTATTTATATGTAATAATAAAAATACATACATGCACAGTCTTGCATTTTTATTAGTCATGTTTTTTCCGTTTGAAATGGTTAAAGAATCTGCCTAATGTCGATTGCTTTTCTCTCTTCTTCAGGATTTTTCTTAAGTAATTAATAGCATTGCAATTGTAGAAATCCCCAAGCCTCAACCTAGTTTGGATGCCATTCTAAGACAGTTGTTCTGACATCTTCCCACTTCAAAAGATCTTTAATAGCAAATATCAGCATTAATCCTCTTTTTCAGAAGAAAACATATCTCACCGAGTTTCTTGGTGTTCTTCATTCAAGAGTTATTGGCGTTCTTCTGTCGTCAGATCTATTTCAGGTTCCATTATGAACTCTTTGATGTTCTTTATTTCTCAGGTGTGATTTTTGTTACTCCTTTAGCTGCTTGACTCTTCTTGATTATACAGTATTTTTCTTAAATAAGATTGAACTGCGGCCTACTGTAGATCTGTTCATGCCATACTGCCCAGCAACATTAGGCATCTTCTGCCCACTCTCTACCTTTGCTGTTATACTCTCATCTTTCGAAAAGAAAAACAGACGCAAAACTTAACGAGTGTCCGCCCGACAGTCTCGTGAATACATAAAAGAATTGTTTTGTCAGAAAAATAAAAGGCTGGAATTACAAGGGAGAGTTTCAAAGTTTGGAGGAATACTATCCAATCGGTATATACCAGCTTGAGCGTCAATGACGATGTCTGCTGCACTCTGAAAAGTTTCGAATTGTTGCCCGAAGACAAGAGAAGACCAATCAGTATTCATTATTTTACATCACTTCTTCTTGTGTTCGTTCTGTGCGGTGTTCGTTGTTCAATCTGTTTGTTAACCGATCATCCACTGTATTTGAAAAATTTATGAACATGAAGTGAAACACCAAAGATTTTTAAAAAATCCTTCCACTTTACAGGCTCTAAGAAAGTCGTCTTCACATCACAAGTTTGGCCACAATTGTAACAGAAATGACCAGGTAAGGAGTTATCAAACCTGACATACCTAGATCAAATCATCCATGAAAACTAACAATCTGATTTGGATTCCTCAGAATGATAAGTCAATGCCTTTACATTTTAAAGATTTGGACTTTCATATTACATGTAAAATGTTAAAATAATTGTATCCTTTTAATTTTTTGTATGAAATTTATTTCACTTTAAAGAAAATCATTATTGGAAAATGTAGCATTTTTTTCAAAATTACTATTAGCAAAAGCTCAAAAATAAAAAACAAATCTTGGTTCAACACATGAGGTGCATCACTTCAAAGTGGGTCTAATCCATATTCATTTCATTTCCACTATTCAATAAAGCTGATGAGGTCCTCCATGTCCGAAATGCATTCTAAAAATAAAATAGTGTTTTTCTAAGTCTAATTTGATGTCGTCCTTTGGTGGTGTAATAAGTCTAGCGGAAAAGTAAAGCCAATTTTAGTGCTCACGAGCCATTCAGAAGACTAGACAAGAAGCGTATCATAGTAAACATTTTTACTTTTTAATAGATTCTTTTAAACTTTTATAGACTCATTATGTAGACTTATTACAAGTCCAAAATCAATCACAAATTGCTATCATTGCAAAAGTTCCTCTGAGACAGGATGCTGCTTATTGCCAGTCTGATACAGATAGAAATATTTAGACATTCTTAGAATGAAGAAATGATTCCAAAAGCTACAATCTAATGTAAAGATCCTATGACTTGTGAACTATTTAAAATATCCAGAACTGAATAAATGAGTTAATGGGCTGAGGCAATGTAACAAGGGCAATTTGCCAAAGAAAGGTATCTTCTGAGAAGACTTTCAGTGGGAAACTGGCCTCTGTTTAGGCATTACATAAAGAAAACCCAGAAAACTCTATGTGGCTGGTCAGTCAATTGACTATAAACTTGCATTTAACTACAACGTTCAATAGTTTTATCTACTTGACCACTGGTGGTCCAAAATATCCAGATCTCTCCCTACTCAATTAGGGGAAGCAGTTTCTTTTAGAGTATATATAAGGTCTGTCTGAGAAGTTTGCAAACTTTGCAAATAAAGTTGTTTGCATTTACCTAAAAGCTAATCAATTTTGTCACCTTTGAAGTAGTCCCCTCCTGAATCTATGTACCAAATTAAGCATTTCTGCCATAAAAAAGAATACTTCCTGAAATGCTTCTTCTGGAATGAAGCACAGCTGTGCTAGCAATTTTTCCTTAATGATGTCAATGGGTTCAAAACAGCAATATTTGAGAGCAGATTTTAATTTAGGAAACAAAAATAAGCCTGCTCAGAGTTTAGTCCAGTGAATTTGAAGGTTGGAGAAAAAAGTAGTATTGAATTCTTGGCCAACACTCTATTATCAGCAGTATTGTGTGGACAGGAGCATCGTCAAAACACTACTCTCTCCAAGTCTTTTTCCCCTCTCCCTACTTCGTGAAGATGTTTTGTCACCTCCAGATGGTATTCCTTACTTAATATCTTCTCAACTGGAAGAAATTCTTGTTGAATGACATCATTGGAATCGAACAAAATAGTGAGGAAGATCTCCACATTCAACTGAACTTGTTGAACAGTTTTGGGCCACAGTAAAGATTTTCTCAGCCACTGTGATCACTGACAGTTTGTTTCCATGTAGTACCCATAGAACCATGTCTCATCCCCAGTGATGTTTTTCACAAAGTTTTTATCAGACCTAGCCTGTCCCAGAACTCTTCATTCAACTGCAATCACAGAAAGAAAATCACAAAACACAATCAACATGTGTTTATACAAATCAACATAATGTAACAACAAATTAAGATAGAACAAACTGTTTTCAGCAGCTAGTACAAAAAACTTGCCAGTAGAGAGCTGTGCAAGCTCAGTCAGATTCAATTATTGGTTGATCTGTAATTTAAAAAGTTCACAAACTTTCTGAACAGACCTCATATATTTCTAATTATCATCTATTTTTTCCTGAAAATTCTTTTCAAAAATCATGTACACATTTTAGGTTTGAAGTAATGCAATAATTTTCAATAATGCATGCAACAATGTAATTAAATGAAGGAATTGAGCCAATGAAAATTTTGTGCATTATCAATTTATTTAACTTTTCTTCACTTGTAAACATTTTAAGTTGAAAATAATTCTTTAAAATAAAAATTCTGACAACTAATGATTTTAATGTTATGTTTTAAATCAGTGATTCTCAAAGTATGATCCATGAGCCAAGAGCCACCTAAGGTCAGTGGACAATACTTTGATGCATACTTACAAACCACCAATGGTTTGTAGAACATACTTTGTTCTACAAACTCAACAAGTCATCAAAGTATGTTCAACAGACTCAACAAGTCATTTTTCCAAAAATCAATTTTATCCTGTTCAGCCAGAGAAAAGAATATTTTCACACATTGCATATCACTTATGTTAGATCATCAGATAGACTGTGCGCCAAAATATTTTGTTTATCATTATCTAAGGTAATATTTACAGGATAAGAAATGGACAGGGTGTAAGTAGTAGTCCACAGTACATATGTAATTTGGTTTAAGTGATCTGTAGGTTGATAACTTTGAGAATCACTGCTCTAAATAATAATAGATGATTCTTTTTATTGCTATAAATAATTTAAAAGATAAAGAATAGCAAAGTAGTAAATAACTTTCCTTTATATTAAACTTCTAAACATAAAACAATTTAATAATATAAAAAAAATATCTCACATTTCAAATTTCAGCATCTGTCTTTCTTCAAAATAATAATTAATGACAAATTTCTGTGAAAAATCAGGATTCAAGTTATTCCAAATGACTTCTGTTCTGCCGTACTAGATTGAGAAAATAAAACTGATAATAAATCTTTCATATTTAATAAATAAAACACATAATAGCAAGTAATAAAGATTAATAAAGCCAGATAAAAGTGAGAATTGCACTATCACTTTATGCTCAAACAAATTTCTTAATTAGAAATTTAGGCTAAAAAAAAATTCATCAATAATTATGCTAATTACTGATAAATTTTCAATTAGCATGTTGCTATCTATAATGCTTATAAACGATTTAATAATTAAGTTTATTCATTAATTAATAGATAAATTTAATAAGATCTAATAAAGGGAACAGTTCAAATTTTTTTGATTCTCTTCAGTTAATGTTCATAGAAATTAAGAGATTCTCCATTTCCAAATCATTCAGTTTCCAACCTATGCTAATTTTTTATTTAACAAATATAAACTGTCTGATTAACATTATTTAAATATAATCAAGGCAATGATACATTCACATATACAGAAAATCTTTCATGCATATATATTACATAGCTAATAATTGCCTTTTTCTGTTAAAACACCAAATCTTACTTTTATATATATGTGAAAGTATTTTATACTAATCTCTTGGAATATAAGGAATTCTCTTACTCTTGCATCTGAAGTTTGTGCTTTAGATGTAAGAGCATGAGAATTCCAAGCAAGAGAAATTTCCAATACAACACAAATGTCATAATGTTATCAACATAAATTTATGTAGCTTTGATGATTATTGATGATAACTATTGCTCTAGATACTCATGCATCACGAGGAATTCAAAAGTTTGAAGATACTCAAAGGCTAAGGGAATAAATCTAAATAAAAACAGACAGATGGACAGACTACAGTGAAAATTTATAGGTCTACAATTTTTTCAAATTGCATCCCAATTACAATAAATATTGAAAATCATACCTCGTGCCATTCATTGTTCAGCCCCTCTTTGACAAACATCACACACATCGGATCCGATTTAGAAAAAAAATCCTTGTCCTGAAGGTCTCTGCAAAAAGAAATTTTTCATTAGTATCAAATGTAATAATTCTCCATTTTAGTTTTTAAAAAATTATCTTCAATTTTTAATGTAAAACAAGAAATTAAAATTAAAACATCGCTTCTAAGCATGTCCTGCATCTGTAGATTGCAAATTCCATAGCCAACAGAAGAGAGTAGAATGCCCAGCAAGTAAATCTTAACTTCATTGATTGATGAGATATAACACAAATATTTGGGAAATCTGACAAGGGAGGTGTCTCTTGGGAAGAAGACTTTCTATAAAAAAATGGCTTCTATTTAGGTTTTAGATAAATAAAACCCAGAAAACTTCAAATGACCAACCCACTGATTGAGTGCAAACATGCAACCAAGTGGTTTTATCCACTTGGCTATTGATCCACTTTATTGTGTATTCTTATGATCATTGTATACTAATGCTCACATATCAGAAACCAAATGAAATTTATCCCATTATCGATATAACTGGGTTCAAAGTAGCTATTTAATTTGCAGTAGATAAGCATCATCCTGTATAGATACTATCATATTCAAGACATTCACATATTGTTAAATAGCTAAAATAGCAATCTACTTGAAATTAAGACATTAATTGTTGTGGTTTTAATATAAAATGAGGTACTTAACGGAAGTTCAACATGAAATAATTTTAAGCTACTCAATAAAATTATTTGTAGAATATAATTATTTCTAGCTACTAAAAAGCAAAGATATGCATATTAACATGAAAATGTAAGTATAGCTGATCCATTAAATCCATAAAATATTCCATTATAAACTTTGATCCATGTGAAAACCATAACATAACTATCTTTAAGTCAAAAAACACAATTTACACAATTTTTGATTTATGTACAAGTGCTGAGTGAGTGTACTATAGTTATCTTTAAGTCTTCTAATAAAAACGGACATACTGAAAGCTGTGTAGTGTTAAAGAAGAGGACTAAACAAATAGCATAAACAGATGTTAAATTCATTCTGTAAGTTAAATACAGTGAAAACTGCTTAGTCGATCACCTGCATTCGACGGGCAAAAATTTCTGACACGGAATAGTTTATACATCGTTTAATACAGGTAACTTATACGAAGACTACCACCTGTGTAACACGACCGTGGGCGTTGATTTTTGGTCCGAAACAACATACAACTGTAATAAGCAACCACTTCTGCGAATATATCTGGTCTAAACCATTGTCACGACGACTCCTGTAAATCAGGTTATCTGATAAGAATAAAATACAATACCAATATAGCTCTATCATTGAAAAAATTTGCCTATTTTTGCTCACCTCGAGTTTTGCTTTCTAGTAGAAATGGCTAAAAAGTGCACAAAATATGTTATTACAGAACCACCTGTCTAAAAGACCACTTTTTGAAGGAACCATGGGTGGTTGCCATAGACAGGTTTTACTGTATATTGCTTTTCAAATACTGTTATTCAAGTTTTACACCCACAAAGAAAATCTGGAAAACTTCACATGGCTAATCTGTTGGTGAAGCACATTTTATCCACTTAGTCAATAGTTGAAGCGATATTTAAGGATATAATTTACAAGAATGTATCTGCTTTGTTCAAAGTTCACTCCAAAATGATCTAATAAAATCTTTTTATAGAACACAAATATTGAAAGATTTTTATGTCTTGGATTGGGAGTCAAATAGGAGTTGCAACAACTAGAAAATCATATCTTATTTCAATAAAATAAAACAAAATTTCAAACTTAAAATTAGACATTGTTTTCTAACTGTTGCAATGTAAGTTAAAGTTCTAAAAATCAATGCAACTGCATACAGTGGTCATAAAGTCCCTCTATGCATGGAGTCAAAGTCTTTCTGTGCCTAGTTATAAGTTACTTGTATGTTCCCCTTCATTCTTAACACAAATTTTAATTTTCATCCATCTTCTTGTAGACATCATCATCTTGTAGACACTGATGTTTAGAAGTCATTAAGCCCGTCCTCAGTTGTAAAATAGTTTGGAAATGCTTTCTATCACAATGCAAATTGTTAGATATTGATAAATATAAATTACAAGAAAGTCATACTACATTAAATCCTTTAACTGGCTTAATTTGATGGATAAGGCAATGCAACACGTGTAGAAGTAGTTAAATAAATAAAACTCACACCAAAATTGTATAGCTTCAACAGTAAATTTTTCTTGTCAATTTTTAAATTATAACGTTCGGTAATTCTGTTGGTAACATGCAACAAGCTTTTGCGGGTGTTTGAAAGATCTTAAATCCACTCAACTAGAAGCGCATGCGTTGAGGTGCGATCGTACTAATTGTGCGATTCTTGACGCATTTTGTTGTTTAAACGCTGGTATAAAGTAACCCATATTTCGGGCAAGTCGAGGGTAGGAACGTTGCATGCATCCGTGGTCATTGTGAGGAGCACTTCCCAAATAAATGTAATCCTTCTATTATTACAGCACTTAAGCAATGCTGTCTTTGACCATAATGGGTTATAGCCCTGCTGTAGAACTTTTCTGGTGAGCTCTGTGGTTTGTCTTCCTTTGTTTATATCTTCCTGGTGTTCTGCGATACGACAAGCGAGTACACACTATTCAGTAAAAAAAAAAATATCTAGAGTACAATCAGCGTTGCCGTATCTAGGAGCACCGTCCATACTTATTAGCCATATTTTCCGGCGATACAGCTTTACCCTTCCTTTAATTCCCCTACCCAGCCTATGCAGGAGCGTATGCAATGATCGGGATAAAGTTGACATTTTAGAAAAATCGGGAGTATACGCAGTGCAACTAGAAAATCCAATAATGGGGATAATTGAGAAGAATATAGGGGCAACGACAAAAATGCTCGCTTGTTGTATCGCAGAACACCAGGAAGATATAAACAAAGGAAGACAGACCACAGAGCTCGCCAGAAAAGTTCTACAGCAGGGCTATAACCCATTATGGTCAAAGAAAGCATTGCTTAAGTGCTGTAATAGTAGAAGGATTACATTTATTTGGGAAGCGCTCCTCACAATGACCATGGACGCATGCAACGTCCCTACCCTCGACTTGCCCGAAATATGGGTTACTTTATACCAGTGTTTAAACAACAAAATGAGTCAGGAATCGCACAATTAGTACAATCACTCCTCAACGCATGCGCTTCTAGTTGAGTGGATTTAAGATCTTTCAAACACCCGCAAAAGCTTGTTGCATGTTACCAACAGAATTACCGAACGTTATAATTTAAAAATTGACAAGAAAAATTTACTGTTTTCTACTTGGAACACTCTGTACATTCTATTTTTCAAATTTATTATTTTTCACCTGAGGACGACAATATAATACTTGTCGAAAGTACTTGCAATATAATAAAATCATGTTAACGCTGAACTCAGTACTTGTTATCAAGAAGCAACACATGGCTGGGCTGCCAGGGGAATACCTCCTGGGAGGATTTTCTATGGGAAACTGGGGACATAGTCTTAATTATTTTCAATAATAGCAACAGGAGGCTTACATAATATAATCAAACATCAAAAACCACACACAAATGCTCAAGAGACTACCATCCAATATACAGTCAAGTCCATTTAAGAAAATGTCTTCAGGATTGCTGCATCACGCTCTCTTAACCAAAATAACAAGAACATCCAGAGGGTTGTTAATGGTATTCAGTTCTCTCCACTTTTTTGAGTTTTAGAAGCTCTGTTGAAAATAGACGTCCTGATATTGCTGATACTGATATTGTATCAATACTTTCCTTTAATACTGAGTACTTTTGTACTTGATACTTTTGGCCCAATACCAATACTGGGATCGATACTTTTCCTTGGGTATCGGATCTGGTATTGTTAAGTTTTTCACAGACAATCAAAATCCAATCAAAATTAGATTTTGCAGCCGAATCAAAGACAGAAACTAACTTGGGTTTTAAAGTCAGTTTTGGCAAAAACAAATCTTATACTTCTTAATGTAGAGGACGTGGTTGCTGTATCTTGAATGCAGTGTGTAGCGTCTGTGTAATCCAAAACGAGTTGGTAGACGAACGGACAGCAATTGGTTAGAAAACGTACTTTTTATTTAAAAAATTCCTTATTCATATGCATTTCGGGTTGGCTTAAATGCCCAACCCCTCTTCAGTGCTGTTAAGGTTACACAAAAAAATTTAATTTAAGGTTAGTTTTACGGTATTGGTTAGTAGGAACATANATGTTCCTTTTTGTATTCGGAAATAATACATTCTAACTAAAATGTAAGTGTGCATTGATATTTTTTAAATTAATATTCTATGTTAAACAGTTCGTCATAAAAATGATATGTTAAACAGCCTCCCCCTTATGCCACTTTTTTCATATCATAGGCTATGCCATACTACTATGTAATCAAAAAATTTTTGTAAAATACATCTATGCTGTACCATTATATGTCAAGTAAGCAATTTTATGTTATCATCACCTCGCGTTTTTAGTTATGTTCCTACTAACCAATACCGTAAAACTAACCTTAAATTAAATTTTTTTGTGTAACCTTAACAGCACTGAAGAGGGGTTGGGCATTTAAGCCAACCCGAAATGCATATGAATAAGGAATTTTTTAAATAAAAAGTACGTTTTCTAACCAATTGCTGTCCGTTCGTCTACCAACTCGTTTTGGATTACACAGACGCTACACACTGCAAATCTTATACTGTTTTTGGTTAAGTTAAACTTATATAGTAAATATTAATGACTAAAAGTCAATAAATTTATTACATGAAATTTCATTTTCAGAGTGCATATATAGTATGCTTAGAGTTCAAATTACTATTTATAAATAACTCACCAATTATTTGAAAAACTTGAAAATATATTAAATCTCAAATCAACATCACTATCTGTAACATTTAAAATCAGTTTTAATAATCTGTTAATAATTATTAACTAGAATAAAGCATGTTATTTATGTTAAAATTAAAAGTTTCATTATATGAGATACCCAGGTCGTCACCACGCGAAACCCCCATAGGAAGAATTCGAATAGGAACATG